GCGAAAATCGGGTGATTTACGCCGCTAGCGGCCAAAAATGGGGCTATTTTCGCTCCTAGTATAAAAAAATCGGGCGATTTTCGCCGCTAGCGGGCAAAAATCGGGCAATTTTCGCCGCTAGAGGTAAAAAATCGGGCGAATTTCGCCGCTAGCGGGCAAAATTCGCGCGATTTATGCCGGTAGCGGCCAAAAATCGGGCGAATTTCGCCGCTAGCGGGCAAAAATCGGGCGATTTTCGCCGCTAGCGGCAAAAAATCGGGCGAATTTCGCCGCTAGCGGGCAAAAATTGAGCAAATTTCGCCGCTAGCGGGCAAAAATCGCGCGATTCTCGCAGCTAGGGGCCAAAAATCGCGCGATTCTCTCAGCTAGCGGTCAAAAATCGCGCGATTTTTGCAGTTAGCGGCCAAAAATGGGGCGAATTTCGCCGCTAGCGGGCAAAATTCGTGCGATTTTTGCCGCTAGTGGGCAAAAATCGGGCGATTTTTGCAGCTAGTGGCCAAAAATCGCGCGATTTTCGCCGGTAGTGGCCAAAAATCGGGCGAATTTCGCCGCTAGCGGGCAAAAATGGGGCAATTTTCGCCGCTAGAGGCGGGAAATCGGGCAATTTTTGCCGCTAGTGGTAAAAAATCGCCCGATTTTCGCCGCTAGCGGCCAAAAATCCCGATTTTTGGCCCAATTTTGGGCTACAAAGTAGCGATAGCCCAATTTTGGGCTACAAAGTAGCGAAAGTTGCCCAATTTTGGGCTACAAAGTAGCGAAAGTAGCCCAAATTTGGGCTACAAAGTAGGGAAAGTAGCCCAAATTTGGGCTACAAAGTAGCGAAAGAAGCCCAAATTTGGGCTACAAAGACGCGAAAGTAGCCCAAATTTGGGCTAGAAAGTAGCCCAAATTTGGGCTACAAAGTAGCGAAAGTAGCCCAAATTTGGGCTACAAAGTAGCAAAAGTAGCCCAAATTTGGGCTACCAAGTAGCGAAATAATTTTTGCCCGCTAGCGGCGAAAATCGGGCGATTTTCGCCGCTAGCGGCCAAAAATCGGGCGAATTTCGCCGCTAGCGGGCGAAAATCGGGTGATTTACGCCGCTAGCGGGCGAAAATCGGGTGATTTACGCCGCTAGCGGCCAAAAATGGGGCTATTTTCGCTCCTAGTAGCCAAAAATCGGGCGATTTTCGCCGCTAGCGGGCAAAAATCGGGCAATTTTCGCCGCTAGAGGTAAAAAATCGGGCGAATTTCGCCGTTAGCGGGCAAAATTCGCGCGATTTTTGCCGGTAGCGGCCAAAAATCGAGCGAATTTCGCCGCCAGCGGGCAAAAATCGAGCAAATTTCGCCGCTATCGGGCAAAAATCGCGCGATTCTCGCAGCTAGCGGCCAAAAATCGCGCGATTCTCGCAGCTAGCGGCCAAAAATCGCGCGATTTTTGCAGTTAGCGGCCAAAAATCGGGCGAATTTCGCCGCTAGCGGGCAAAATTCGTGCGATTTTCGCCGCTAGTGGGCAAAAATCGGGCAATTTTCGCAGCTAGTGGCCAAAAATCGCGCGATTTTCGCCGGTGGCGGCCAAAAATCGGGCGAATTTCGCCGCTAGCGGGCAAAAATGGGGCAATTTTCGCCGCTAGAGGCGGGAAATCGGGCAATTTTTGCCGCTAGTGGTCAAAAATCGCCCGATTTTCGCCGCTAGCGGCCAAAAATCGGGCTATTTTCGCCGCTAGCCGCCATAAATCGGCGATTTTCGCCCCTAGCGGCCAAAAATCCAAGCCCCTTGTCCTCGTATCCCAGCGCCTTGTCCTCGTATCCCAGCGCCTTGTCCTCAAATCCCAGACCCTTGTCCTCATATCCCAGCTCGTTGTCCTCATATCCCAGCTCCTTGTCCTCATATCCCAGCTCCTTGTCCTCATATCCCAGCTCCTTGTCCTCATATCCCAGCTCCTTGTCCTCATACCCCAGCTCCTTGTCCTCATATCCCTGCTCCTTGTCCTCATATCCCTGCTCCTTGTCCTCATATCCCTACTCCTTGTCCTCATATCCCAGCTCCTTGTCCTCATACCCCAGCTCCTTGTCCTCATACCCCAGCTCCTTGTCCTCATATCCCAGCTCCTTGTCCTCATATCCCTACTCCTTGTCCTCATATCCCAGCTCCTTGTCCTCATATCCCAGCTCCTTGTCCTCATATCTCAGCTCCTTGTCCTCATATCCCTACTCCTTGTTCTCATATCCCAGCTCCTTGTCCTCATATCCCTACTCCTTGTCCTCATATCCCAGCTCCTTGTCCTCATATCCCAGCTCTTTGTCCTCATATCCCAGCTCCTTGTCCTCATATCCCAGCTCCTTGTCCTCATATCCCAGCTACTTGTCCTCATATCCCAGCTCCTTGTCCTCATATCCCTACTCCTTGTCCTCATATCCCAGCTCCTTGTCCTCATACCCCAGCTCCTTGTCCTCATATCCCAGCTCCTTGTCCTCATATCCCTACTCCTTGTCCTCATATCCCAGCTCCTTGTCCTCATATCCCAGCTACTTGTCCTCATATCCCAGCTCCTTGTCCTCATATCCCAGCTCCTTGTCCTCATATCCCAGCTCCTTGTCCTCATACCCCAGCTCCTTGTCCTCATATCCCTGCTCCTTGTCCTCATATCCCTACTCCTTGTCCTCATATCCCAGCTCCTTGTCCTCATACCCCAGCTCCTTGTCCTCATATCCCAGCTCCTTGTCCTCATATCCCTCCTCCTTGTCCTCATATCCCAGCTCCTTGTCCTCATATCCCAGCTACTTGTCCTCATATCCCAGCTACTTGTCCTCATATCCCAGCTCCTTGTCCTCATATCCCAGCTCCTTGTCCTCATATCCCAGCTCCTTGTCCTCATATCCCAGCTCCTTGTCCTCATATCCCAGCGTCTTGTCCTCATATCCCAGCTCCTTGTCCTCATATCCCTACTCCTTGTCCTCATATCCCAGCTCCTTCTCCTCATACTCCAGCTCCTTGTCCTCGTATCCCAGCGTCTTGTCCTCATATGTGGTCTGTATAGAGCCCTTGACGTCACTGAATGGTCTATATAGAGCCCGTGACGTCACTGAGTGGTCTATATAGAGCGCTTGACGTCACGGAGAGAGGTCTGTATAGAGCCCTTGACGTCACGGAGAGAGGTCTATATAGAGCCATTGACATCACTGAGAGAGATCTATATAGAGCGCTTGACGTCACTAAGAGGTGTATATAGAGCCCGTGACGTCACTAAGAGGTCTATATAGAGCCATTGACATCACTGAGAGTGGTCTATATAGAGCCCGTGACGTCACTGAGTGGTCTATATAGAGCCATTGACGTCACGGAGAGAGGTCTATATAGAGCCATTGACATCACTGAGAGAGGTCTATATAGAGCGCTTGACGTCACTAAGAGGTCTATATAGAGCCCGTGACGTCACTGTAAGTGGGTCTAAAGGGGATTACATCAGAGACTTTCAGGCATTAAATATATATATATATATATATATATATATATATATATATATATATATATATATATATATATATATATATATATATATATAATCTTTCGACCCTTCTATACCCTTCCTGGAGCTTCGCATCCTGCTATAGAATTATCACATTCGTGAAATATATCACATATCACACATATCACATTCGTGAAATATATCACATAAGTGAAATATATCACATATCACACATATCACATTCGTGAAATATATCACATATCACATTCGTGAAATATATCACATATCACATATATCACATTCGTGAAATATATCACATATCACATTCGTGGAATATATCACATATCACATATATTACATTCTTGAAATATATCACATATCACATTCGTGAAATATATCACATATCACACATATCACATTCGTGAAATATATCACATATATCACATTCGTGAAATAAGGTTTACCGTTATTGACTACATTCGATACAGAGACTATTCGCTCTAGTTATATTTTCCCTAGAGTTATTTTTATCATATTTTACCATCATCTTACAAGGTTAGGCTTGTCAAGGATATCTGAACGTAGTTTGGTACTTATAATCTTTCTTCTTTTATAAACTGCAAGTTTCTTGGCTGTCTACTAGCTTTCTGGTAGGTTTCCACCTGTGAAAACTTGGAACGTTGTTGTTTAAGATTCGCTACTTGGAACAAAAAGTTCCAAGTAGCACGGGCTACGGTGAGCCCGTATTACACACTAGGAATGCTAAGAGATACTTGTATCAACAGTACCCTGGTCGACTTAGATCAACAGTACCCTGGTTGACTTATATCAACAGTACCCTGGTTGACTTATATCAACAGTACCCTGGTTGACTTATATCAACAGTACCCTGGTTGACTTATATCAACAGTACCCTGGTTGACTTATATCAACAGTACCCTGGTTGACTTATATCAACAGTACCCTGGTTGACTTATATCAACAGTACCCTGGTTGACTTATATCAACAGTACCCTGGTTGACTTATATCAACAGTACCCTGGTTGACTTATATCAACAGTACCCTGGTTGACTTACATCAACAGTACCCTGGTTGACTTAACATCACAGCGCCCTGGATAAACATCTCTCGTCTGGACAATAACTACCCCTATACCCACTGCCCGCCGGGGATGGTCCAATCACCAGTCGAGTTTGGTCCAATCAGCTTGGGCGCGCGAGCGCTCACAAGTTCAAAACACCGGCTAAAGCGGTTCGCTACAGCGATCCACAATCCAATCAATCCAGTTAGGTTTCGGGCCTTGTTCAGCGCCGTTTTTATCGTTATCGAGTTTCGTAGTGGTGGAGGGAATTAATCATTGTATGTGTGTGTGTGTGTTGGTCTGTTGAGGGTTAGCGTGATGTAGTTACTATAAGGTCTTCGTCAGGGCTATGGGGGTCTTCGTCAGGGCTATGGGGGTCTCCGGCAGGACTATGGGGTCTTCGTCAGTACTGTGGGGTCTTCGTCAGGACTATGGGGTCTTCGTCAGGACTATGGGGTCTTCGTCAGGACTATGGGGTCTTCGTCAGGACTATGGGGTCTTCGTCAGGACTATGGGGTCTTCGGCAGGACTATGGGGTCTTCGTCAGTACTGTGGGGTCTTCGTCAGGACTATGGGGTCTTCGGCAGGACTATGGGGTCTTCGTCAGGACTATGGGGTCTTCGGCAGGACTATGGGGTCTTCGTCAGCCCTGAAGTCTCCGCCAGCCCTGAAGTCTCCGCCAGCCCTGAAGTCTCCGCCAGCCCTGAAGTCTCCGCCAGCCCTGAAGTCTCCGCCAGCCCTGAAGTCTCCGCCAGCCCTGAAGTCTCCGCCAGGCCTGAAGTCTCCGCCAGCCCTGAAGTCTCCGCCAGCCCTGAAGTCTCCGCCAGCCCTGAAGTCTCCGCCAGCCCTGAAGTCTCCGCCAGCCCTGAAGTCTCCGCCAGCCCTGAAGTCTCCGCCAGCCCTGAAGTCTCCGCCAGCCCTGAAGTCTCCGCCAGCCCAGAAGTCTCCGCCAGCCCAGAAGTCTCCGCCAGCCCTGAAGTCTCCGCCAGCCCTGAAGTCTCCGCCAGCCCTGAAGTCTCCGCCAGCCCTGAAGTCTCCGCCAGCCCAGAAGTCTCCGCCAGCCCTGAAGTCTCCGCCAGGCCTGAAGTCTCCGCCAGCCCTGAAGTCTCCGCCAGCCCTGAAGTCTCCGCCAGCCCTGAAGTCTCCGCCAGCCCTGAAGTCTCCGCCAGCCCTGAAGTCTCCGCCAGCCCTGAAGTCTCCGCCAGCCCAGAAGTCTCCGCCAGCCCTGAAGTCTCCGCCAGCCCTGAAGTCTCCGCCAGCCTTGAAGTCTCCGCCAGCCCAGAAGTCTCCGCCAGCCCTGAAGTCTCCGCCAGGCCTGAAGTCTCCGCCAGCCCTGAAGTCTCCGCCAGCCCTGAAGTCTCCGCCAGCCCTGAAGTCTCCGCCAGCCCTGAAGTCTCCGCCAGCCCTGAAGTCTCCGCCAGCCCTGAAGTCTCCGCCAGCCCTGAAGTCTCCGCCAGCCCTGAAGTCTCCGCCAGCCCTGAAGTCTCCGCCAGCCCCTGAAGTCTCCGCCAGCCCTGAAGTCTCCGCCAGCCCTGAAGTCTCCGCCAGCCCTGAAGTCTCCGCCAGCCCTGAAGTCTCCGCCAGCCCTGAAGTCTCCGCCAGCCCTGAAGTCTCTGCCAGCCCTGAAGTCTCCGCCAGCCCTGAAGTCTCCGCCAGCCCTGAAGTCTCCGCCAGGCCTGAAGTCTCCGCCAGCCCTGAAGTCTCCGCCAGCCCTGAAGTCTCCGCCAGCCCTGAAGTCTCCGCCAGCCCTGAAGTCTCCGCCAGCCCCGAAGTCTCCGCTAGCCCTGAAGTCTCCGCCAGCCCTGAAGTCACGCAACTGAAAATAAAAGCCAAGTGACGACGTTTCGGTCCGTCATGAACCGAAACGCAATAGAGCAATTTGTCAGCAAATAATTACTTTTGGTCATCCCTCACACCTTGACTCAATTACCAAAACGGTTTGACTCTCATATCTCGCACACACACGTCCTGACACGAGGCCTTTATTTTGCCGCTGAAACAAAGCCATTTTGACCTGTAATTATGCATTAGGGGTGTATAATTTAGCTGCTGCTGTTGACACGAGTTTGTGTTTAACTGCCTCGTCAGGCTAGGCTCGTTCAAGCAGCGGGCGTCATCAAAGACGCCTTTGTCAATTTGAACGTATATGGTGCGTTTATAGTGTGGTTCGAACAGAGGTCGTCAGTGGAGCGCTGTTCGGATAATGTTCGAATGTCATCATTTGCGCGTCGTGTGTAAAGTGGTTTTTCGTTCATAAACAGTGGTTTAGCGGCCGTATGGAGTGAATATGTCTGCTTTGTTGATGAGGGCGGTCTGCTGTGTTGATGGGGGCGGTCTGCTTTGTTGATGGGGGCGGTCTGCTGTGTTGATGAGGGCTGTCTGCTGTGTTGATGAGGGCGGTCTGCTGTGTTGATGAGGGCGGTCTGCTGTGTTGATGAGGGGCGGTCTGCTGTGTTGATGAGGGCGGTCTGCTATGTTGATGAGGGCGGTCTGCTGTGTTGATGGGGGCGGTCTGCTGTGTTGATGAGGGCTGTCTGCTGTGTTGATGAGGGGCGGTCTGCTGTGTTGATGAGGGCGGTCTGCTGTGTTGATGAGGGCGGTCTGCTTTGTTGATGAGGGCGGTCTGCTTTGTTGATGAGGGCGGTCTGCTGTGTTGATGAGGGCGGTCTGCTATGTTGATGAGGGCGGTCTGCTATGTTGATGAGGGCGGTCTGCTATGTTGATGAGGGCGGTCTGCTGTGTTGATGAGGGGCGGTCTGCTATGTTGATGAGGGCGGTCTGCTATGTTGATGAGGGCGGTCTGCTATGTTGATGAGGGCGGTCTGCTGTGTTGATGAGGGGCGGTCTGCTGTGTTGATGAGGGAGGTCTGCTTTGTTGATGGGGATAGGCAGAAACAGTTAATATATTAATAATAATAATAATATATTTTAGAAAATTCCTATTTTGAATTAGCCAAATGTTAAAATTTCCAACCTATCCTCAGGTCAAGCCCGTTAACGTTAGGTTAGGTTAGGTTAGGTTAGGTTAGGTAAGGTTAGGTAAGGTTAGGTAAGGTTAGGTTAGGTTAGGTTAGGTTAGGTGTTTTGATTCTGTTGCTTATTATGTGTGTATGTAGCACGAGGGTGAAGCATTCACAGCGGCATGATTCGAACACAGGACATCAAAGACGATCGAGAAATGTTCGAACGTCATCAGTTGTGAGTCGTGTGTAAATTATTTTTAATCACAAACAGGTTTGGCGAATGGATTAATAAGTATCGAGTATTTTGTTGTATTTATCCACCAGCCTCGTCAACTGGGTGTAGAGGGTCCACCAGCATCGTCAACTGGGTGTAGAGGGTCCACCAGCCTCGTCAACTGGGTGTAGAGGGTCCACCAGCATCGTCAACTGGGTGTAGAGGGTCCACCAGCCTCATCAACTGGGTGTAGAGGGTCCACCAGCCTCGTCAACTGGGTGTAGAGAGTCCACCAGCCTCGTCAACTGGGTGTAGAGGGTCCACCAGCCTCGTCAACTGGGTGTAGAGGGTCCACCAGCCTCGTCAACTGGGTGTAGAGGGTTCCCCAGCCTCGTCAACTGGGTGTAGAGGGTCCACCAGCCTCGTCAACTGGGTGTAGAGGGTCCACCAGCCTCGTCAACTGGGTGTAGAGGGTCCACCAGCCTCGTCAACTGGGTGTAGAGGGTCCACCAGCCTCGTCAACTGGGTATAAAGAGTCCACCAGCCTCATCAACTGGGTATAAAGAGTCCACCAGCCTCGTCAACTGGGTGTAGAGAGTCCACCAGCATCATCAACTGGGTGTAGAGGGTCCACCAGCCTCATCAACTGGGTGTAGAGAGTCCACCAGCCTCGTCAACTGGGTGTAGAGGGTCCACCAGCCTCGTCAACTGGGTGTAGAGGGTCCACCAGCCTCGTCAACTGGGTGTAGAGGGTCCACCAGCCTCGTCAACTGGGAGTAGAGGGTCCACCAACCTCGTCAACTGGGTGTAGAGGGTCCACCAGCCTCGTCAACTGGGAGTAGAGGGTCCACCAACCTCGTCAACTGGGTGTAGAGAGTCCACCAGCCTCGTCAACTGGGTGTAGAGAGTCCACCAGCATCATCAACTGGGTGTAGAGAGTCCACCAGCCTCGTCAACTGGGTGTAGAGAGTCCACCAGCATCATCAACTGGGTGTAGAGAGTCCACCAGCCTCGTCAACTGGGTGTAGAGAGTCCACCAGCATCATCAACTGGGTGTAGAGAGTCCACCAGCCTCGTCAACTGGGTATAAAGAGTCCACCAGCCTCATCAACTGGGTATAAAGAGTCCACCAGCCTCGTCAACTGGGTGTAGAGAGTCCACCAGCCTCGTCAACTGGGTATAAAGAGTCCACCAGCCTCATCAACTGGGTATAAAGAGTCCACCAGCCTCGTCAACTGGGTGTAGAGAGTCCACCAGCCTCGTCAACTGGGTGTAGAGAGTCCACCAGCCTCGTCAACTGGGTGTAGAGAGTCCACCAGCCTCGTCAACTGGGTGTAGAGAGTCCACCAGCCTCGTCAACTGGGTGTAGAGAGTCCACCAGCCTCGTCAACTGGGTGTAGAGAGTCCACCAGCCTCGTCAACTGGGTGTAGAGAGTCCACCAGCCTCGTCAACTGGGTGTAGAGAGTCCACCAGCCTCGTCAACTGGGTATAAAGAGTCCACCAGCCTCGTTAACTGGGTGTAGAGAGTCCACCAGCCTCGTCAACTGGGTGTAGAGAGTTCACCAGCCTCGTCAACTGGGTATAAAGAGTCCACCAGCCTCGTCAACTGGGTAAAAGAGTCCACCAGCCTCATCAACTGGGTATAAATAGATTATGTATTAAAGCAAAGCATATTTCTACTGTTTTGACATAATTTGGCAGTTCGTGGACTGATAACGATTGTAATAGTAGATAGTTGACCTCGTTAACTGATGAACCTCGACTACGAAAATAAATACTAGAACTTAACAGGTGAAATGGAATCGAATGATATATCAAGACTGATATCTCAGTTAAGAACATTTATATCAAGATTTTTTCCTTAAGAAAATTTATACCAAGATTGATTCCTTAAGAACATTCTTAATACGGTTTTAAACAAATGTACGTAGTTATATATGAACTGGGGAGTTCATATATCCAGAGTCCACTATATATGTCTAGTGGAACGCCAGAGAGTAGAACAAAGTCACCCTATAAGCGGACTCGAAGCTAGATTTATCCAGAGATTACTGCAGCTCCGGGTTATAACAGCCGGACTTGAGTTTGTTTTCACTGATTGCTGAACAAACGAAGCCAATTACGATCATTAATTGTTCAATATCCCAGAAATGAAGGGGGGGGCTTTTCTGGAAGCTGGGGTTGGGGGGGTGGGGGAGTGGGGGAGGGTCGGATGGGAAGGGGTGGGGGGGTGGAAGAGTGGTTTTATGGGGAGGGTTGAGATGGGGGTATTGGTAGGGGGCTCTGATTGGTCAAGAGCGTGTGCTTGAGGCTCTGATAGGTTAAGAGCGGGTGCTTGAGGCTCTGATTGGTCAAGAGCAGGTTCCTGAGGCTCTTGATTGGTCAAGAGCGGGTTCTTGAGGCTCTGATTGGTTGAAATCCAAATTAAACCTCATTCAATCTTCGATTACCGGATATGAAAAGAGAAACAGAGCAGCAAGGAGGCTGAGAAAGATGGCAGAGTGAGATAAAAGATAACAGCCGGCAATTAACGAGTGATGGATGCTCAAATTTGCGAGGTGATTGAGATAAAGTTACTGGTGATGGCGATGATTGACAAATTACCACGAAGCCAGTTTGGCAGTGTCTTTCAATTGGGTTGTTAAAGAGGCATCCTGGCTTATGGTTGGGTCTGCAGGAATCCCAGTTCCTGTGTCCTCATGTCCCAGTTTCCTGTGTCCTCATGTTCTAGTTTCCTTTGTCCTCATGTTCTAGTTTCCTGTGTCCTCATGTCCCAGTTTCCTGTGTCCTCATGTTCTAGTTTCCTTTGTCCTCATGTTCTAGTTTCCTGTGTCCTCATGTTCCAGTTTCCTGTGTCCTCATATTCCCAGTTTCCTGTGTCCTCATGTCCCAGTTTCCTGTGTCCTCATGTTCTAGTTTCCTTTGTCCTCATGTTCTAGTTTCCTGTGTCCTCATGTTCCAGTTTCCTGTGTCCTCATATTCCCAGTTTCCTGTGTCCTCATGTCCCAGTTTCCTGTGTCCTCATGTTCCAGTTTCCTGTGTCCTCATATTCCCAGTTTCCTGTGTCCTCATGTCCCAGTTTCCTGTGTCCTCATGTTCCAGTTTCCTGTGTCCTCATGTTCCAGTTTCCTGTGTCCTCATGTCCCAGTTTCCTGTGTCCTCGTGTCCCAGTTTCCTGTGTTCTCATGTCCCAGTTTCCTGTGTCCTCATGTCCCAGTTTCCTGTGTCCTCATATCCCAGTTTCCTGTGTCCTCATGTTCCAGTTTCCTGTGTCCTCATGTCCCAGTTTCCTGTGTCCTCATGTTCCAGTTTCCTGTGTCCTTATGTTCTAGTTTCCTGTGTCCTCATGTTCCAGTTTCCTGTCCTCATATCCCAGTTCCCTATCCTCATATCCCAGTTCTCTATCCTCATATGCCAGTTCCCTATCCTCATATGCTAGTTCCCTATCCTCATATCCCAGTTCCCTGTCCTCATATCCCAGTTCCCTATCCTCATATCCCAGTTCCCTATCCTCATATCCCAGTTCCCTATCCTCATATCCCAGTTCCCTATCCTCATATCCCAGTTCCCTATCCTCATATCCCAGTTCTCTATCCTCATATGCCACTTCCCTATCCTCATATCCCAGTTCCCTATCCTCATATCCCAGTTCCCTATCC